TGGCTCTCCAGGCCTTTGCATAGCTTATGGTGTACTTGAATTTGTTCTCGATGTGCCTAATAATTGATTTTGGTTCAAAGCCAATGTTACCAACAACACTGCTGTACATCTCACTTGCCACAAAAGCTGAAGTGATGTTTCGGTGATACTTCTCCACCCCTTGTAAGTAGCATTGGTGCTCGGTCACAATGCTAACTTTCCAATAATCATTCCATTTACCCTTTTATGCATGGACACGCCACGGACAATCTTCCTTCATGCACCTCACTTCATACACATAATTTGTTGACTTGACCACCCTAAACTCTCTCTGCAAGGAAACTGCCCAATGCTTCACCGCCTCCTTCATCTCATCCTTATGAGCATACCTAGCACCCTTAATTACCTCGTTCTCCTTATACTCCCAGGGTACATGATCACCCTCTGATATAACAAGTCCAGAGAAGTCCTCATTTGCCCAATCAGTGGCCATTACATCACCTTCCTCATTGGATGATGCGTCGTCCTCCGCTTGCTCATTATCCGAATCTTCCCTCTCCATTTCATCAACAATTATACCGACTCTCTCCCCCTCATCCGCCATGCCCATGGCCTGCTCCTCCCTTGGTTGATTTTCCTCATTTTGCATCGATGGTCCAACAACATCCCCTGCATTGCTAGGACCCTCCACATCTTCGGTTTGCATTGAAACATTTGTATATTTCTCTTGTACCGACACAAATATAACGAGGGGCCATGACCGTTCAAAAGCCATTTCCACATACCGTCTCCAAGCAACAGTGCTGTCCATCGGCATTAGTTCCCAAAAATAACCTTCTATTGCACGACTCACTACAACAGATACTGACATTGTGTAGACTTCTTGGTCTATTCTAAATCCTCTCAACAACCAACTATAAATTGACTGAAATGTTCTCTCCGCAGGCCTATCGATGCCCTTAGATGTCATTACAAAATCTGACAGATCAACACCATCTGGACCAAATCTAATATTTCCTTCACCGTGAACTATCTGAAATGTGACCTTATTTGACATTGTGCCTGATGAAAACAATAATTACGTTAACCTCGCATTTCTGTACTACACCCTAAGTTACATTCTCTACAATATTGTTCTCCAAAATTCTAAAAGTAGGTTACGTTCTCCAGATCAAACTAAACTACATCTTACAATTAACACTACTATCTATGTCTCAATTCATACTATTATATTCTGTGCTCTGGATCTACACATGTGTGCTGTGTGCTATAGATCTGCTAAAATATATGGAACTAAAACTAAAACGCAACATATATACTCAAACATAACATATTAGTACAAATGCAAAAGATGTATGGGAGCAAACCTGTGATGAAGTGAGCGAACCAGCAGGGCTTCGCCGCTCCCCTTCTGCTGTCCTCCCCTCTCTCTCTTTCGTTTTTTTTGGATTTTTAGTGAATATAATGAAATTTGAGAGAGGGGGGACGGGGCTATATAGGGGGGAGGCAAAAATCGCCCTCCCCCAGGGCGGCAAGGGGGCCGCCTACAAAATTCCAGGCCCCCCGCCGCCCATTTGCAGGCGGCCCCCCACACAATGCAAAATTGCCCTCCCCCAGGGCGGCAAGGGGGCCGCCTGCAAATTTCGTTGATGGCCGTCGCCCGAGAGCGAACGGCCGTCTGCCACGTCACATTCGCCGCCCTCTGGGAGAAATCACCCTCCCAGAGGGCGGCAGGCGACTACTTCTGTCAATTTTCGAAATAGAAAATTATTTTTGTAAAACTTTTAATAAAAAAAATTAAAAATAAAAAAAATTCCCTTATCTGCAGGTTACAGCGAGTAAGCGACACTACTATTCTACTATAATGTATGCATGCTTAATTCCAAACAAGTGTACTAGTAGTATTTATTTACTAAACGAGCATAAACTTCTTTTTTCAAAATAAATATAATTATGCTTGACAGTTGTTGTCGATTGACAAACACTTTTACCAAAGGGTAAGTTTCACTTGATTATGTGTAAAAGGTAAATGGTAAATGTAATAATCTCTCCAAAATTGTATCCCCTATTACATAACCCTTAAGAGTTTATTTATAGCTTGCATATCTGGGTTTAGAACTCTAAGTAGGGATGAAAACGGAGCGGATACGGACGGATAATGCTCATACCATATTCATTTTCATATTTTTTACCGGATACGAAAACGAATACGGATAGCTCGAATACGGAAACAAATACGGATTATCTCGAATACGAATAAGAATCGAATATGATCGGACACGAATACGGAAACAAATTTTTCTCGGAACACGAAAACCAACTCAACTTCTAATATAAATAAATATCAACATATATAATTAGCTCATTTTATATAAAATGAGGTATAATTTATAAATATTTTTTAAAATTTAAATAATATTAATAGTATGGACTAGTGTTAAGAGATAAACTACTATTAAAATCTATAAATGTATATTGAAGGTTATAGAGTTAGAAAGAAATGGGGTATGTCTCATGGGTCCTGCGGATATCCGAATAGCACTGTTCACCGGATATCCGAATTATTATCCGTATCCGACGGAAACCCTGATATTATATTCGTATTCGTATCCGGGAGAAAATATCCGTATTCGTATCCGTATCCGAAATATCCGAGAATTATCCGATCCGAAAGGTATCCGTATCCGTTTTTGTCCGGAGCGGACGGAAACTATCCGCTCCGTTTTCATCCCTAACTCTAAGGTACTGTTAGTGAGTTTACACAACCGTCTTTGTGACATGTATGTTTATAAGGGTAATACTAGTCTTTTGGCCCAACCTACCGGCCCACTGGCCCTAAAGGTCTCCCCTCCTGGGCTGCTTATTGGGCTTCCTTGAACGGACATTTTCTCATACTGTAAAATTACATCAAATTTTAGTATCCTCTAGTAAAATTTATCTAAAAGTTTTTTTTAAGCATAACTTATATTTTGTGTTTATAGAACCTTTTGAATAATGTTAAAAATTAATAGCGTCATATATTAGAAAACGGAGGAAGTAATCATCATCGATGATTCATGTATACTATTCTTTTCATCATTTTAATTAACGGTGAATATCAGAATATAGACGGTCCTCTAATCCAAATCGGCCATCACTGACGATGATGGATGGTGCTAATTAATTAAATCTTTAAAATGTCCACATATATATGACGTCGTAGGGCACGATAGTGACATCTATCGCAGTGAATATAATTGTGACGACGCTTTGTCAAAAAAAAAAAAAGGTTGTGACGACTCCGATCAATGTAATGGTGGAGTATATATGACAGATGGGCACGCATGGAGAGACATATCATATGTTTGTGTATCTTGCGTCAGCTTCCACTGATATAGTATTATGTTTAGGAGATGGATTTTCATTCATCGAGAGATATCCCTCGCTTTTTTGTCATAAAAACAATTTTTAAAAATTGAACTATATATTTGTACGTAGAGTCATATATATATATGTCTCGTTAATTTATCTTGTCCATTCTTTTTTTTTTGACTGAAAACATATTTCCATCATGTCATCTAAATAGTCATAAAAAATTTAAAAAATTTAAAGTTACATGTGTACGGAGTGATATGTCTCATACTAATCTATCTTCTCAATTCTTTTTAAATTATTTTGATGGAAAAGCTAAAAACCATCGATAGTTTTTATCGATTTCACACATATTTCACGCACCACACGCCTGGACCAACTAAGGAATGAACATTTTCTGATTTGAATTGAAATTACACTTTAATTACCTTGTAATTATACTATAATTACATGCAAGTTATATTGTAATTATGTTTGACAATTTTTTTTTAAAAAAAACTATGGGTATAATTTTAGATGCACCCTTTTTTGGACTGTCTATGTAGTATTTGACAAAAAGAACCCCTAAAAAATCTCACAATTTTTCAACCGTCATATTGCTTTAATATTTGTGTGCACCTACCTAATGAAACATAACCTACCATTCCTCATCTCCTCTCCCCCTTAGCGGCCCCACGACACGAGCTTGAGTACTTGATGCCGCTGCCGCCACCTAGCCTCAATGGCTTGCGGGAAGGCGTCAACGGCGCGGCGAGCCCCACCGGCTGGCTTCTCCCCCTTACCTCCCTCCCTTTCCTCCCTCTCCTACTCAAGCTGGTGTCTCCCCGTCATCGGATCCATCACAACAGCTGCCCATAAACTAGCTTTGCCCTTGCCACCAACACCGGCCCATCACCCTCCTCCATCCCCATGGCTCCAGTGCCGCCGCCACCACCTCATCATCTGCCCGTGTCCACCGCCCACCGTCGGCCCGCGTCATCCCTCTAAGCTCAGTGATCTCCCTCCTCTTCCCCTAGCCCCCCCTCTCCTCATCCAACCCTCACCCTAACACGGGACCCTAAACCTTAACTCTTCTACCTTCGTTGGGGTTGCTGAAGCTGGCGGAGCTAGGGAAGAAGGTGTTGTCAGAGCTTGAGGAGGAGAACTGGGATCGCCGGAGCATGAATCATAAAGCAAGTATCAAGGTTAGTAATTTGTAAGATTTTGGCTCCCCAAATCTATCGTCAGCTATTTAGCTATTTTTTATTGATTATTTTAAGGTGACATGAGGATATGGTGAGAGGGATGAAAATACTTTCCCTTAAATGTATCGATCGATGGCTAGGAAATATGAAGTATTTTCTCTATCTCAAAATAAGTTAATTTAGTATGGGATGCGACATCTGTTAGTACTACTTCCTCTGTCAAAACTAACCTCATATTAGGATGTAAACATTTGTATGTCCAGATTTGTTGCACTAGTATGTATGACGTTGACTGTTTTTTTAAGGACGGAGGGGGTACGTACTACTAGCTAGCTAGATGCCGACGGATGATGATGGATTGGAAAGGCAAGTAAGCTGGAGTAGGTGGTACTAGCTAGCTAGGTGTGCCACGCACTCGCACTGCACGGAGTAGTACTGCTGCTGCAGAGAGGCGCACGACGACTATAAAAGGAGAGTGCAGGTATCTTCCTATAGTAGCTAGCTAATTGTATTATACTAGCTTGCTTGTTCAATTCAATCGAGCAGTAGCTAATTGCATAGTGATCGATCGATCTGTATAGATGGTGGTGGCCGGCAAGAAGCAGGGACGGCATTCTTTTTCTGCATCATCATCGTCGTCTTCGTCTTCTTCTTGTTCAGTAGTGCAGCTGGGTCATCATCAGCGCCCACAGGGTGAGGACCCTCTCATCGGCATCAAAGCAGCAGCAGCAGGAGGAGGAGGAATAATGAGAAAGGGCCCGTGGACGGAGCAGGAGGACGTGCAGTTGGTTTGGTTCGTGCGGCTGCTGGGCGAACGGCGGTGGGATTTCTTAGCAAAGGTGTCAGGTTTGCGCGGCGGCGGGTGATGAGCATATGCGTGCGTGCATCTAATCTATCGATTAATTGTTGATGATGTCGATCAGATGGATGGATGCATGCATATGCCGTACATAGTAGATTTGATGATAGTAACTGACATAAATATAATGTATGCGTGCGATCAACGCTGGTTGTTGGATCGTCCGTCGTGTGTATGGGTGGTGTGTGGCTGATGCAGGTTTGCAGCGCAGCGGGAAGAGCTGCCGTCTCCGGTGGGTGAACTACCTGCATCCAGGGCTGAAGCGAGGGAGGATGAGCCCCGAGGAGGAGAGGATGGTGGTGCAGCTCCACGCCAAGCTCGGCAACAGGTGGTCTCGCATCGCCAAGAGCATTCCTGGCCGCACCGACAACGAGATCAAGAACTACTGGCGCACCCACCTGCGCAAGCTCAAGCTCAAACAGCAAAAGCAGCAGCAGTCCGACGACCACCACAACGACAACGACGACGACGACGACCGCAACTCCTCCTCCTCTTCGTCCTCCTCCAACAGCAACAGCAACCTGCAGCAGCAGCCGCAGCCAGAGGATGAGTCGTCGGCCAGTGGCAGCCTGCAGGCCCAACATCATGAGGACCAGCACCAACTGTTCCTTCATCCTCTCTGGAACGACGACATCATCGTCGACGTCGACTGCTGGAGCAGCAGCACCAACGTCGTCGCTCCGCCGCCGATGCCCGCCTCGCCGCTCTGGGATATCGATGACGCCTTCTTCTGCTCGGATTATTCGCTACCTCTCTGGGGATAGTATATATCATCCATCAGCCGCCAAGACGATGACGACTACATCAACTCGATCGATCGATGCCTCCTAATCATGTGGGAGTACTCAGCTCATCTCAATTGTTACATCCTTGCTACAGCTGCTAATTACTGTAATTACTAGCTTGCATATAGGGATCGACGGAGGAATTAATATATACATGTTAGTAACTCGTTCTATAGCGCAACTTGCAGTTGCATCTCAATCTCTGATCAGTACTATATAAATATATATATATGTAACAGCTGCTAGCTATAGCTAGCTGCGTACACATCCATATGAATGTGTGTGTGTTCATGCTTGTACTGCCTCTTGTAGTATATGCACATATACGTGCAAGTGCAACAGACGGCTGCTGGCTGATATATTTTGATCAGCGCGCCACGTGCACGTGCATACGTTTCTTCATTTCTGGCAAATTCATATGTATCATGTTATACACTGAACTGAATACTGTATTATGCTTCACGTACCATTTTGTATATATACATATCAGATAATAATTTTATGGTGGCTTGGTATGGTACCGAGTGGAATTAACAGATGATCATCGTTATTCTTTTCGCACGCGCGCGAAGCAAGCATATTAGGGCAGTAGAGAATCTGAATTTCGCAAATAGCTTGCTTACACAGAATCTGAATAAATGCATTCATGAGATGCAAAGCCAGGCTGATTGAATTGATACCCGCCCGCCGCGTGAATCTTAATAATTGTGTCTGTACATGCAGATGCATGAGCAACATGCATATTGCCTCCTACCTGAAAACTGTGGAGCGATTGCAACTGATACGTACTATATCAATCCAAGATGCTGCGTACTACGTGCTATATACAGAACAACAAGATTAGGAGGACAGCTATCTAAATAGCTACTGTTGCCACCCGGCCGGCGATTAGCTATACAAGCAAGAGAAGATCAGAGGCCGGACAGGTACGTGTTCCTTTTCCAAATTCCATCTCAACTGTAGTCGGCCTGAATGAGCGAGATAGATAGTAGATGGAGGGAATTGGGTGATGTGTATTAGCTAGCTAGCTGAAGGTCAGCCACTGCCACTGCCCCTGCAAGTTGGAGAGGAAAAGAGAGGCCCCAATTCAACTGCTTCCAAGCTAGATAGCTTCTGATAAGCCACCTGGTTTTTATTCTTTTCTTTTCTTTTCTTTCTTTCTTTCTCTCCGGCCGGCCGGCCTTTAAAAAGGAGATCGATCATATCGATGACGATCCAACAAGATGAAGAGCTAGCTAGCTAGAAGGTGCCAAGATTAAAGTGGTAGAGCATATAGATATCGCCGTACGTGATAAGGAGCCAGCAGCAGCTTGGTACCTTTGTGCAACTTGCCTAATTTGCTGTAATTCTCTCATATTACCTAGCATTATCCTGATGATTAGTTTACTCCAACTAGCTAGATAGTGCTTCATCACCATGTAGCTAGCTTGCTTGCTTTAGTGCTGTTGTCTTGTCTTCTAGCGTGCTGATAGCTAACCTCACGCATGCCCAGCCTCATCTCATCTGATATTGATCCTCACTTTCTTCTTTTCTGACCCCCACAATGCTAGCTGCTGCTTGCAATCTCTTGCAATTTTTTCTTTTCTTCTCCTTCCTGCCGGCCTCCAATTCGATAGCTACGTCTAGCTTGACATGGGATAGGGATATGATATATGCACTGCACAAGAATCTTGCGGCCTTCCTGTTTCTTCTTTTTATCACAACATCCATAAAGTCGCTTTCTGTGGGGAAAGATGGTTGCAAAAGTATTACTACTACCCTCTGTCCTTCTTAGCTTAAGCTTAGGGTCAAATCTTCTCTCATCATATATTCCAAAAGGAAGAAAGAAAAAACATATGGATCTAGTGACACGCGCACTGAAATCATACAGGGGATTTAAGGTTCCTTGTTTTGTTGTTCACAATATGTGTTAGTAGTTTGGATGTATTTTAGATATAGATAGATGCTTGTTAATTAGTATTCCCTCCGTTTCATATTATAAGTCGTTTTAACTTTTACCCACTTGAACTTATTTAGACTTGATCGAATTTATAAAAAAAATAGCAATATTTACAACATCGAATTAGTTTCATCAAATATAATATTGGATATATTTTAATAATATGTTTGTTTTATATTGAAATGTTACTATATTTTTCTATTAGTCAAACTTATAAAAGTTTGGCAAAATAAATCAAAGTAACCTATAATATAGAACAGAGGGAGTAGCAAGAAAGAAAAGTTCGATATAGTGTATACCGCAATTCTGAAACTAGTATATTATGCATGCATGAGGATAAAAGGGAGGAAATGGTTCTAAACTTCGAAGGAGCGTCCCATCGTTGTTTGCTGTGAAAAAGCTAGTTAACTATTTCATCTGTTTATAACTAGTAATATGTCCGTGCATTGCAACGGATGAGATCCATATAATATAGGCTAGGAAGGTGGATTAAGATGACTAGAAAAGTGGACTGAGGATAAAGCACTGGAGGCGGTGGTTACATATACAAAACCGTAGAAATTAAGATGTGTGCGGGTGGTGAGAGGAGGAGATAAAAGGATGACGACTCCCTTTTAAATAGTAGAGATTTCTCATTAGTGAACAAAAAGCTGACGTCTTGAGGATTCAGTACATAGCTGACACTTGTGTCTCTAGATGTCTTAGTGAAAGTAGAAGTGCACTTGGAACATACTATAAGATGCATCCATGATAGGCAGCATTGACACAGCTTTCAGTGCAAAGTCAAACAACATACTCCATATAGCTAGGCTAGCCCTGCATTTGCTTTCTTGTTCCATATAATCTTACACCTTGATGCATCAGTGGCCTATGGTCTGATCATGGCAAAAGAAAAGTACAGTATATTCCATTCCCAAGCATAATTCAGGTTCACCTTTTTCTAGGCAGAAAATTAAGCGATTAATAATAGTTAATAAGTGTCTGACAGTAACTAGCTAGCTAGTAGATAGAGACTGGACTGAACTAATCGTCAATATATATAATTGATTTGTCAGAATTAAGGAGCAAAACTGGAGCTGCAGGTACATATATTACAGGTAGATGTGGGCCTATCCTAAATTCTAATTTCGGTATGCCTGTGAGTGCTGATCAAATTAAGCACTTAAAGATTACTTTATTGTGGTGCCATGCACGCAGTAAGTAGCTAATCAAAAGTGAGCAGAGCTGAGGAATCAGCCATCAGGCATATCATGATGGATGGATGGATGGGTTAGCCTTGCATCGATCATTCAGTTAACACTTAACACCCACAAAGGATTAATTCAGGCAGACACTGATTCAACAAGAAGCAAGGCATCAGTAGAGACGACATGCACTTTAGCCACTAATATAATTACTGTCTAGTTAGTGTCTCCATTCCAACGACGTCGCCATTGATCATGGAGGAGGGCTACGCAAGCAAGCAATGCAAGCGCATGATTGTTTTTCGATCGATCACGTCACTGACGAACGCATATCCATCATCATTCATATCCATCCAACTTGCAGAGAAAAGATCACGTCGATGTTAGCTCAAGGCAGGCGCAATACACTAACAGAGTTTAATTAATTCCAAGTGGCCTTGCCGATTGGTTATATAATTAGCGTGTATAATAACAAACGCAGGCAGGCATTGCCATTGATGACGATATCGTACTAACTAACTAGCTAGACAATTGATTGAATTGGATGGGCTTATCCACGTTTTCAAATCACCGCTCGCAATTTCGTTAGGATCTATCATATCACACATGCATACTGGCTGCGCATGTCGATCACACTAGCTATCTAATCTAGATCGATTTGTCCCCAATGGCAGACAACATGCCATATGACCTTATCATCGTATATATATCTCGTTTTCGCTGGAAGGTGGAGCACCCCCTGCCTACATGTGTTTGTGAAAATCGGCATTTTCACATGCAGACGTCACAACCACACGCAAACACGATTTTCACATATGGACGTCCTAAGGAAGCTGCTTGGAAAAACCGATTTTTACAACCGACCAAGCAAGAACACCGGATTGCAATTTTTTTTAAAAATAAAAATAAAAAATCAAATCCAAAACCCTAGCCAAGGTCCCCGTAAGGCTACCGCCATCATCGAGCACCGCCACAACAGCCTGCTGCCATCGCGTGGTCCAATGTCGATGTTGTTGTTGCGTGGTTGAGGTCCTCGTCATGCTGTCGAGGTCGAGGTCTTCATCGCGCGCTCATTGACACTGCCCTTGTGCCCGATGGTGCCGTGGATCCGCCGCCTCCGGCCACCAGGAGACGGATCCGCCATGGCTGGAGCCCTCTCGACTGATCTTCCTCTCCCGCCATCAGAGGGGTAGAGGTGTCGCCGCTACCAGATCCACGAAATGCCATCGTGGGTTTGCCGCCTTCGGGCTAGCAGGAGACAGATCCACCATGGCTAGGGCCCTCCTCGATGGTTCTTCCCCTCCCGTCATCGAAGAGGGAGATGTGCCACCACCTATCTCTGTTGTCGTCGTCACCGCTGTCGGCCTCCACAGTCGCCGCCAACCTCTATAGCGATCGCTCCCATAGTTAGCCGCTCCTGGCACCAATGCTCCTGTCATTGCTCGATGGGGAAGAGAGGAGAAGAGAAGGAGAAGTGAAGGGGGAGAGAGAAGAAGTGAAATGGATTGATAAGGAGAAAAGAAAGAAAATAAATAATGGGGAATGGAGCCGGCCAGTCGTGCCTCAATTTTCACATACAAACCTCTTAAGATGCTCGTCTGGGAAAATAATTTATTATTGTAGACGGATCTGTTAAGAGACCTACTTGTGAAAATTTAAAATGTGGGCCTTGATCAAACACCTCTCGCACATTTTTATAAGCGGGTATTTTTTTTCCTCCTTAGTAAAAGTAAAAGGGACCTACACATGAAAATCCTTTTTAATAGTGCTTGCCACTGCTTACGATTTTTAAGATGGAGGTTGTTACTACTTCATTGCAGGGCCAGGGGATCCAAAACTAATTTTCTTGTTTGGGAGGGGCAAAAATGCACTATGCTGAATTAAAGAGCATGCGGTTAGCTATATACTAGTGGACGACATAGAAAAAAATTTCACGCGGTTGCAATCTCCAAGTGATATTTATCCTTTACTATAGTTCGAAATGTTAGTGCACACATGCAATGCACTAACAAAGCTTTCCTTGTCATACTAGTGTTGATCCGCTTGCGATTCTTCTTGAAAAAAAATGTAGCAAAACTCATATATATATAATGTAAAAATCTGAAAACTATATCCATGTCATCTAGCTAGAGAAAACTTTTACTCTCAATTTTTTTACGCATGATTAAATTTAAGGGTAAAATTTTACTCTTGATAACAAGAATATATATAGAATGATTTACACTGTATATTTTACTTCCTTCTAGTCCATATATAACTCTCTGCCGTTTCGTTTCGATTGGGGAGGGGGGGGATTCCCACATAGACCCATCTGAAAATGATCAGTGATCGATGCCTAGTTAATTATCCTATTGCAATACTGCTTTCTTTTCTTTTGAAGATGAAGATAAAGATTAAATTTTTTTTTGCACAAAACGAGGTGGTATTAACGTATGATTGATTGGATTTTAATTATAACAAACTAGAAAAAAGATTAATTAATATGATATTTTAGAGCAACTTTCATATAGAAAGTTTTCGCACAAAACACATTATTTAGCAATTTGAAAAGCATGCCACGAAAATCTTAATCTTTATCCAACTCTTGTTGGAGAAAAGAACGGGACCTAAAGTAGATAATTCAAAATTAATACATGAATTATTCATTCTTTAATATGCTCGAAGATCGAAGAAATACCACTAGTTTCCGTCTATTTAAACGTACATTACGGGATGCATTTAAGAATGTGTGGGTGCGCTCCGTTCTTTTTAAAAAAAAATCAAACTAAGAGGAGATATGACCCCTCCTAGTATAACGAATCTAAACAAAGGGCTATCCACATTAGTTGTACCAGAAGAGGTCACATTTCCTACTAGGTTAGCTTTTTTAGGGTGGAGTGAGTAGTGATGTGTGTGTGGGTGCGTCATATAATAAAAAAATCGTTAGATACTCCAGAAAAGAGTAGCAACTAACTAGGGAGCACCAAGGCATATTTAGTACTTGCACTAGTAGAGTAGTAGTAGGGAGTGGATTTTTATCTCTCGAGGGGACATTCTCTCGTTTTATGCATGGTGTTTAAAAAGTTATCAAAAAATTTAGAAAAAAATATTAAGATAGATCAATATATGATATATCTTTTCGCAAACTTGCAAATTAAAATTCGACTTATACAATTCAAAACAAAAATAACAAATTTGACCATGAATTACGCGTTCTATTAATTGTCAAATTCGTTATTTTTATTCCTACTTGTATAAGTTGAATTTTAATATGCATGTTTGTGAAGTGATATATCACATATTGATCTATCCTATTATTTTTTAAAAAAAAATTTGATGGCTTTTTAAGTGACATGTAAAAATAAGGGGATATCCCATAATGGATGAATTGAGTTTTCGGTAGTACTAGTAGTGTAGCCTGTAGTTCTTTTTTCCCCCTTGAAAAGGAGAAGTAACAAGGTGAACAGGCCTCCTAACACAGGTTGAGAGTAAACCAACATTATCCCACCAAAGTTTTACGGAATAAGTTCATACGAGGTCCCTTAACTTTACACCGAATCCGATTTTCGTCCTTCAACTCAAAAACCAGATACAACCGGTCCCTGCTCTATCAAAATCGGTGCAAACGAGGTCCCTCGGTGGTTTGAAATGCGGTTTTGGCTAACGTGGCGCCAACGTGGCCGGTTTGACTTGGTCTTTGTCCCACGTGGCATTTGACGTGGAACTTACGTGGCAATTCGATTCCGGAAAAATAATAAAAATAGTGGCCCCACATGTCAGCTACACAAAAAATATAAAAATGGTGGGGCCCACGTGGGCCCCACCTGTCAACCTCGCCTCCCTTCTTTCCTCTCCCCCTCTCTTCACCAGCCGCACGCCGCCGCAGAGGCGCTCCACCTCCGGCGCCGACGACTCCCTCAGTCTGGGCACGTCGGCGACCGCCACCGCCACCGAGAACGCCTCCCACCACAGCACGTCGGCGAATAGCGGCGTGTACCTATCGGCGACCAGCAATGTCACGCACAGGCGACACGTCGTCACCGTCAGGCACCTTCGTGGTCTTGGATTGCGAACAGGACGAGGAAGCGCTTCGGGAGGTGGAGCGCAACCGGAACCACAAGCGGCAGTGGGCTGCCCAGGGGCTGGCGGGGCGGCGCTGGGCGCTAAAGATGACCGAGATGAGGCCGCTCACGAGGACGACAGCCCGCGTCATTATTCTTGATTCTGGCCAATTAATTCTTGATTCTTTCTGGATGCGATGATTTTAGCTTGAGCAAGCAGTAGATCTTGATACTGTAATGGTTACTCGGTCGCTGCCGTCTTGCTTGGCACTGCTCGTCGCTGCCCTGGTAGCAGCAGCAGCAAACAATATGCGAGATTCTTCAGGGAAATACCAAGTTCTGGTGCTGATAGGCGGCGCCATGGCCGTAACGGCAGCAGTGGTTGCGTCGGTGATGAGAAGCTGCAGGGGTCGAGCATAGGGATCTCGATCTTGTCCGCCTCCTCCTCCTTGCTTGTGTTGCTCTGCGCCCCGGCTGAGTTGCCGTTGGAGCAGTTGGCCGTCGCGCGGTGGAGGACGACAACGGCGAGGGGGACGGGACGAGCACGTCGGTCCAGGTCGTCTTCTTCTTGCTCTTGCCCCCACCCTTCTTCTGCTCCGGCAACACCCGCTTCTTGAGGTGCGTGCTCCACCTCGCCGTTGGCGTCCTCTCGGCCTCATCCCGTCGCCATCTCCCAGGAGCTCGCCGCCACTCTCCACTGCTCCGCCCGCCGCCCCTCTCTCCGCCCGTCACCCCTCGGCGCCGCGGTGCCGTCGCCCCTTGCCCCTCGCCTGTCCCGGCCTGCTCCAGCCACCGCCGCTTAGCTCCGCTGGCCTGCTCCAGCCACCGCTGACATGTGTGTAGCTGATACGTGGGTCCCATGATTTTTATTTTTTAAGATTGAATTGCCACGTAAGCGCCACGTCAATACCACGTGAGATGAATACCTAGTTAATGGAGCCACATAGACGCCACGTCAGCCAAAACCGGGCATAAGAGCAAGTTCAATAGTATAGCCAACTACTAGCTCCAAATTATCTATAGCCAATTTATATAATATTTGCTTACTATACTATAATATCTGGTCCCACCTATCATACACACATTATGTCTTGGAGTCCGTGCTGCAGCTGGCTACAGATCTGTAGCCCACTGCTCTTCTCTCTCTTTATTTATCTCTTTAAAATATGTTTATAACTGGCTTATTGCCCGCTATTGTACCTGCTCTAATACTGCCAAGGGACCTTGTTTACACGGTTTTGTAAGTTGAAGGATGCGTTGTATCCGTTTTGCACTCGAGGGACGAATTTCGAACTCAGCGACAAATTGAGTTTTACTCATCAGCTCCAAATTTCCAGTAAGTGGACAAAGGAATATGGGCCTATGGGCCGCCGAAGTTCTGGCCCATCCGTCCAATGAGATAGATGGGTGACCAGTTAATTGGGCCTCCCGTACGTTGAAGGCCTGAAATATTTAGGCCACGGAAAGTGCTAGCATGACATGCGTGGGTCCTCCCTATGAACTAATTCACATTTAACACCGTCTATTCGTGAGTATGTTTTACATGAAAGGGATCATCTGAGGGGGCGTCTAGTATGCGGATATTCGCGGTCAGCGAACGTTCCAACAGCCTCTCGTTCCAACATCCGCACCTGGTTTCTGACGCGCGTGCAACACTGCAAGCTAGCCAAGCCAGCCCATGGGCTTTAACCTGCCTTTTCTCTTTGTACCATGCCTTAGCCCAAGAATGTCTTGATCAACCCAAAACATATTTAGGAAAAAGTACACCGAAGGTCCCTCAGCTTGTCATCGAGTTACAAAATCGTCCCCTAACTGCAAAATCGGATACAACGCATCCTCCAACTTACAAAACCACTACAAACTAGGTCCCTCGGCGGTTTTGACCCCAGTTTTGTATGACGTGGAGGCTGAGTCAGCGTGGGACCCACGTGGGCCCCACATGTCAGAATGCCACATCAGCAAGGTCTCTCTCCCCTGCCACGTCAGCAAGGTCTGTCTTCCCTCTCCCTTCCTCTCTCTAATCTCTATCTCACTCTTCTCTCTGGGCAGGCCGTCCGGTGGTGGAGAGGAGGTCCGACGGCCGGCCGGCGATGCTGGAGAAGGAGCGACGCGGCGCCGGCAGGCCGGGAGCAAGCAGGCGCCGCGGCGGTAGGCGCGGAGGCGGGCGCCGTGGCGGCGGTTGGCGCAGGGGCGACGGAGGATGGAGGAGGACGGTCGGAGCGAAGCTCAACGATGCGAGTCCTGTGACGAGTGGCCACTTGCGATAGGGGCGACGACGCTCGGGCATTCCCGGATTGGCCCGGCGTGACTGCCGCTCTGATTGAGACCAGTGGAGGCGGTTGCGCTCCGATGTGATTTGGTGGCGAGTAAAGACGGAGCGAGCTTTGCCTCTATGTGGCGGGGCTAGGGTCTTCTAGCGACGAGGCGGCTTAGGGTGAGCAGCCCGCGGGCGGCATCATGGTTGGGACTTGGGGGCGCGGCTAGGCGAGGGAGGAGGTTGTTGTCGAGCTTGTATGCTGTTAGAGAAAGGAGAGAGAAAATGAAATCGTGTAGCTCGAATTTGTATGCTGTTATTTGATAGTATCTGCAGGTATGAGTCTCGAAGCTGATGAGCATTCGATGATTAAATTTTAGTTGCATTGCATCTTCAAACAGTCCCCTCAGTTCGTGCTTATATGATTTATTTACAGAAATGATATTGTAGTGTTTGAATGGATTCAGGTTCTGAAGAGTTCTGGAGCTTATTAAGAGTGCGCTTCTGGCAGCACTAGAAGGTTACTGTTTTGAACGCTTGAAACTTACTGAATTATTGGTTGCTTGAACTGCGAATTGTGAGCGAGTATAATTTATGTTGCTCCTCAGTTGTCTTTTTCTCTGTGCAACAGCTCCGATTCCAGGCTCCCTGTTTAGACAGTATGATGTACAAGGTCCAATTCCAGTTATAAAAGATGTTTTTATCCCTCCAGACACAGAAGAAGATGGGCTGCCTGCTGCCCTTGAAGATGCCATGCCTCTAATTTCTTTTTTGGCCCCTCTATGTAAGAAGTGTTACAGTTTGTTTAGTCAATTTGAACATGTAATAATGACAAGATAAATTTACGAGCAGATCGACACATGCAAAGATCGAATTGCTGCTGCCCTTGATAAATTGCGATTTACGACATACATCTTCGTGGGAGCGAGGTGCTGCTTCTGGGCAGGAACCTGATACTGTTTTACTTGGTGGCCGAGGTTTTGGAGCAGCCATGTCTGCTCTAACTGACGCCCTCCCCCGACGTCCTGCTTCTCTCCGCCGGCCGCCTCCTGCTCTGCTCCCGCCGTCGCCTCACCCGTGTGAAGCCGCTACACGCCGCTGGCGTCGCTGCCGCTGGAGCCGGGTCCACGTCCCGCCGCCGTCGAGGTCGCCCACAAGCCACATCCGGCGGAGAGGAGGCGCCCCTCCTCTGCCCTTTTGCTGCCTGACCCAGGCGTGGTGGCCTCCTCCCGTCGCAGCTGCCGCCGCCGCCGCCGGTTCTCCTCCTCTCCCGCCTCGTCCCGGGTGACCTCCTCCCCACCCCACCCGTCGGCCGGCTTGCCCAAAGGAGAAAAGCGAGAAAGGGAGAGAGAGGGTTGATGACGTGGCATCCTGACATGTGGGTCCCACGCTGAGTTAGCCGCCACGTTGGATAAAACCGGGTTCAAAACCACTCAAGGACCTAAAGCGAACGGTTTTGTAAGTTGAGGTATGTAATATATCTGGTTTTATGGTTGAGGGACGATTGTGTAACTCGATGACAAGTTGAGGGACCTTGGGTGTACTTTTTCCAACATATTTATACCTAGACTATATACTTCACATATGTAAACTATATACAAAGAAAGTTTGTACATGTAAATTTTTTTCATGTAAATTTTGTACATACAAATTTAAACAATGCAACAGTGTGCAATCCCTTTCTAAAAGAATATTTATACGCGAAAAAAAATCTATACATAGAAACTTTATACATAGATATTTTATAGATATAAACTTTATGCATAGAAAATTTCTGCATATAAATTTTGTACCTATAAACTTTGCACATATAAATTTCAAACGAATTAAAAAACAATTTGCAAAAACCTTATATTAAGATCATTAAGGCCCATATGCCCATCAGATGTGCTTGTGTTCACGATTTCACGTGTACCAGCGTTTTCGTTTTCCACGTGAGAGCAGGCAGGCCGTGGGGTGAACAGAAAAGGAAAATCATGCGTGACCCTAGAAATGGAAATCCGGATTCGTTCGCTGATCTCGCTACCCGCGAACGTTCACGCATTAATTAGCTTTTCTGATCATCTGTGTTAATGACATATGGGCTAAGTGGGACCCACATGTCAGTGACTCAAGGTTCTGCTTACGTCCTGTGTCCTGTTTAGAGAGCCCAAAATTATCGAAAGCAAAAACAGCTAGTGAGTAGTTAACCTATATAACCGATTCATGCATCCCTTTTACTCTTTCCGTCAAATCATCCTCATCTTCTTCATATATATGATAGTGTTCCTATAAGCACTGGCACAGTAGACTAGAGTAGTGTGGAAGCCTTCGTAGGCACAGTGTCACTTCTATCTCTATATCGCCATCTCCGCCAATGAGTTGTCGTCGTTGCCTCCGAATACTAGCCTCATGGTTAGCAGTTAAGAAAATCCATCCTTGCCCTCTACATTTGGTGGTTATTACGTACTTGGCGGTTGGCCAACAAAATATATTGTCTTGATGGTTTTGATGCTATCTTTGACCCTTTTTGGCTACCAAGAAAATTCTGGTTTCTTGTAGTGAGCCTCGAAAAAACTTAAGTAACGATATCAACGGCAGACTTTAAAAACGAGGCTCCAAATCACCGCCTCTATAGGCTTGCTATCGGCCCAGATCGCTGTCTGCGCTGACGTGTTGTCGCCGCTACCTTTGCAAGCTAGCTGTCACTAGGGTTTAATATTTCATTTTCGGCATTTGTATCGGGGGTGCGATATACCAAAATTTTGGTCTGAAATTATTTGAATTTTTGAACAAAATTTGATCAAATTTAAACAAAATATTGTCAAATTCATAAAATAATGAAAAATTTTCAAAATTTTAGCCGAAATATTATCGTATCGGGGGGAGGGGGGAATCCGATAGAATCGAAATTTCATTCAGGAATTTTGAAGCCGTGGCACGAGATTCTACCTCCACGGCTTTGTCTTTCGTTTATTGGCGAGATGGATCGGTCGAGGAAGACTAGAAGAGGGCGGCTGTTTTGCAGAAGTCAAGTACTATTGAAGGTGGGCGGTTGTTTGGAAAATGCAGGCTTGGAGATTTATTAACCGTAGGATTGATCGGAGGGCTTCATGAAGTCGTGTCGTGTGTACATAGAATGCGTAGTACGTTGCTCTACTTTAACTGATCAATAGATGCACCTCTCCTCATCTCAACCTCTCTTCTACAGCACCTGATCGATCGATCATATCTCAGCCCCACTAAATCTATCGTCCTAGCTAGCTTGACCACCGCTAGGTCATAGACGTGACTAGTACGGTCAGTTTTCCCCTGGCTTGTGCCCAAAAATTTTGGTCATTGAGCTGGTTGTTGAGTTTCATCAAAAATTTTCCTTGATGATCGAAGAGATGATACGTACTTTTCTCTCTCCTCCACATCAGCAACTTATCTTTAGCTAGCTAGCACTTCTACGGGCCAGGACAGCACATTGTTTTATTAATTGTATTAATTTCTAAATGCTGTCAAATTAAATGTGCACTCTGATATTCAACTTTTATACAGCTTGGCCAGTTTAATTTGCATGATTAATTTTGACACGAGGAGGAATGGCTGGCCCTCGAGCTAGCTAGCTAGGTAGAGAAATATGTGTGTGTTCAAGCAATTAACAGCGCTCCACTGGCCCTTAATTAATTAAACCTGTTATATATCTGTGTAGTGTACGATCGCTGGCGATAGATAGGTACTAGATAAATCTATTATATAATTAAAGGAATAGAAAAAGGAGCCTCCACGTTCGCTCTCATGGTCTAGAAATTCTCACATTAATCGGAGAAAAAGAAAAAACAGAGTCCATTTAGAAATACAACTTAGAAATAGTTGAAATTCAGAATTAAAAAATAAGGAATATTAGAAGAGGAGACTAGAGTCCATATAGAAATACACTTTAGAAATAGTTGAAATTCAGAATTAAAAAATAAGGAATATTAGAAGAGGAGTATAGAGTCCATATAGAAATATAATTAGGAAATAATATAAATTCAGAATTAAAAATTAAAAATAAGGAATATTAGAAGAGGAGTATAGAGTCCATATAGAAATACAATTAGGAAATAATAGAAATGAATTAAAAATAAGGAATATTAGAAGTAGAGTATAAAGTCCATATAGAAATACAATTAAGAAAAAAAATAGAAATTCGGAATTAAAAAATAAGAAATATTAGAAATAGAGTATAGAGTCCATATAGGAATTTAAAACTAACTAAAATTCAGAAAAAAAAAAAGGAGCCTCCACGTTCGTTCTCATGACCTAGAAATTCTCACATTAATCGGAGAAAAAGAAAAGGCAGAGTCCATATTAAAATACAATTTAGAAATAGCTAAAATTTAGAATTAAAAAAATAAGGAATATTAAAAGAGGAGACTATAGTCCATATAGAAATACAATTTAGAAATAGCTAAAATTCGGAATTATAAAATAAGGAATATTAGAAGAGAAGACTAGAGTCCATATAGAAATACAATTTAGAAATAGTTGAAATTCAGAATTAAAAAATAAGGAATATTAGAAGAGGAGACTAGAGTCCATATAGAAATACAATTTAGAAATAGTTGAAATTCGGAATTAAAAAATAAGGAATACTAGAAGAGGAGACTAGAGTCCATATAGAAATACAATTAGGAAATAACCGAAATTCGGAATTAAAAATAAGAAATATTAGAAGTAGAGTATAGAGTCCATATAGAAATACAATTAAGAAAAAAAATAGAAATTTGGAATTAAAAAATAAGGAATATTAGAAGTAGAGTATAGAGTTCATATTGGAATTTAAAACCAACTAAAATTCGGAATAAAAAGGAGCCTCCACGTTCGCTCTCATGGCCTAGAAATTATCACATTAATCAGAGAAAAAGAAAAAGCAGAGTCCATATAGAAATACAATTTAGAAATAGCTGAAATTCAGAATTAAAAAATAAAAAATATTAGAAGAGCAGACTAGAGTAGTTATTACACATTAGTAGTTTTGAAAAGTTATTGCAAAATTTAAAATTACGTTGTCATTGTAATATATTTTAATAATATAATGAGAAAACATATATGCTATTATATGAGAGAAAATATAATGATGCTAGCCGCGCAATCTGCGCGGGCCATCATGCTAGTTAGATATAAATAAAAATAACCGGTAATGCACGTCAATCTGGATGTGTATATATGTGCACAGCAACGAACACCTCGCGAAGTACTGAGTGATAACTAAAGTATACAGCATGCATGTACCGAGAAATGTATACGATCGATCGACCTTAGAGCAGACGTCTAGCAATAATATTTGTATACAAGATCCTAATATATAAAAATACTTACTCAATATATATATGCGCAGTCAGCAGAAAAGAATGGACATAGCTAGGTAGCTAGCTGCAAAACAATATATATGTGTGTGTACATAAACGTACAAAATTGGAAGATGATGAATATATTGATGCGCGACTAGCTAGCATGAGAGTAAATAGCTAGCTAGTCGTAAAACCCTTCCCAGGATGCATGCTCATACATATATAGCGTGCATTATTTACCAGCATGACAGACATTATTGTTAATTAACCCACACCCCATATTAGCAAGCTTGCAAACACTAGTAGCGAGTTAATTCTGTAATAATTTTAGAGATATGCATCATATCATATCCCTCCTCCACACCCAAATTAAAGCTAGTGACAACTCACGCGATCGATATGATGGAGCCTGGAGGCTGGAGCTGTATATATAGACATATGAACCACAGATCGATGGAGAGGACACCTGCGCTATAGCTAGTCGTAGTTGTGAAGATCGAAGTTGGTTGTGTGATTAGATAGATATGGCGATGCAGGTGGCGGCGCCGTCGCGGAGGAGGCCGAGCTTGGGGCGGCAGAAGATCGAGATCCGGCGCATCGAGAGCGAGGAGGCACGTCAGGTGTGCTTCTCCAAGCGCCGTGCCGGCTTCTTCAAGAAGGCCAGCGAGCTGTCCATTCTGTGCAGCGCCGACGTGGCCGCCGTCGTCTTCTCCCCCGCCGGCAAGGCCTACTCCTTCGGCCACCCCTCCGTGGAGTGCCTCCTGGAGCGATTCCTGCCGGACTCGTCGTCGGGAGCGGCGGCGCGGGTGCGGCGAGGAGCGAATAATAATGGTGGTGGTGGGATGGTCGGGGAGCTCAACAGGCAGTACGGCGAGCTGCGCGCGATGGTGGAGGCGCACAAGGCGCGGCGGGAGAGGGCGGACGAGAAGATAGAGATGGAGCGCGCGGCGGGGAGGTGGCTGCCCATGGACGCCGATGTGCGCCGCATGTCGCCGGAGGAGCTCATGGCTTTCGGGACGGGCCTCATGGCTGTGCAGGCTGCCGTCTCCGCGCGCGCCGACCAGATGCTGCGCGACGCGCTCCTCATTGGCCGCAGGCCGCCCACCACCACCACCGCCGGCTTCGGCTTCTTCCACATGCCACACTACTGATCTGAATAATATCTATCTATCTATCTCCATTCATCCATCTCCGCAATATAATCTGCTAGAGCTAGCCTCCTCTTCTTCTTTGATCATTTCATCTCATCTATTATTAATTAGTTGCTGCATGCATGCATATCATACCCGGCCTCATCGTTGTATCCCGGTCGATCGATCGCTAGCTAGCTTTTTTTGTTTCCATCACACATTCATTCGATTCCATGGAGATTGGAGATTTGTATCCCTGCATGTTATTATGTCTTCTGCTGCAGTATGTATCGTCCTTAGCAAGCACGCGCAAACTTATATGCGCCACTGCAAATGACAGATTAGTAGTTCACCTCCAATGTATTAGCTGCAGCCACGCGGATGTAATATCACCCTTTTTATTACTAAAAATATATGCATTAGCTACATGATACATGTCTTCTTGTTGTTATTGTTATTGTTATTGTTAATATATTTTTCTCTCTGCGTGACTCTGGGATATACGCCCTGCTAGCCCACATATATATGTTCAGTACGTAGGTATATATAGGCGGTGGAATAAATGTATGGCGTTTGTGAGTTGTCGTTCGTGCACCTATCCCTAGTAGAAGAATGAGTGATCCCCCTGCGGATCATGGCCTTACCACTAGGTCTCCGATGGTTTCTTCTCGTTTTTCTCTTCGTGAAATAGAAAGTTGTTCCACGAAACTAGAACGAACATTACGAAAAATAAGATTAGAGTCCTTTTTACACCCTACGCGCTATTTCTATATATGGCAAGACTGTTTCTAGCTAGCTAGAAAAGGAAGCTATTAATCTAAAATGGCAAAGTAAATTAGCTAGAGCCCGACATCTAGGATACGTTTGGAACAACTTGCATGTTTGTCGAATGATTTATCATATACTAACCTATCTTGTTAATTTTTTTTAATTTTTTTATAACTATTTGGATGACATGCAAATAACGAGGGGACATCCCCTCGAGAGTTTAGAATCCACTCATCTCTATAGCCCTTGCTCAGCTAGGTTAGCTCACCAAGCCATAGCCCACCAAAGCAAAGTTGCTAGTTCGATAGCTTGTCGACAAAGGAGAGGGGCAAGGATTTTCAACTAGGCCGGGCGTGCTAGTTTCCCAAGCAAAGCAAGGTTTCTAAGCAGTTACCCAAATGCACAGCCTAGCATGGCAAGGAGTGGAAGTAGCTAGCCTAGCATCCAAACGTTCCCCTAATCTCTTATCAAATTATGTCTTCCATCTGTGTGCTACCTCTCCTATCTCCGTGCTCCCATTGTGCCAGGGTTCAAGAGGATGAGGCCTTTCTTCCCATTGCCATGTCTCTAGCTAATCCTAACTAAATACACTGCTACCCTCCTCGTTATGCATGCATGATGATGTGTGCCAGGAGGACGCAGCTTTAAAATATAGATGGGGCAGAGAACGGAAATGTTCACTCGATAAGAGTAGTTGAACACAACATATATCATATTTATAGTTCAATCGTATAACTATCTCGATCATTGTTTACAGCGTGCGTGTGTTGTGAAGAGACAGACTAATCTGTTGGACGTTCGCACCTTGTTATACCTAATTTTGATGGTACGATAAGAGGGTAGGAGGGTTTTTTTCCGGGGGGGGGTGTCTAGGGTGACACGGGTCGTAGCTGGGTCCATCGGCCCACCCTAACTAATAGATAGATCCGCCTCTGGTGCCGGTTGTGTGTTAGCCCCTTGTCCAACATTTCTAATGGACCTCTATAACAATTATTGATGCATATCTCTATGTAGAAGGCCACACACTCTGGATTAGCAATGAAGTGATTTGCAATACGTATGGTGTCATGCTGAAACAAGATTGTCAATACATGATAGAAATTTGATCGTTGCTACCACAAATATATCCTACCAGTGCATGACTAGGGTCAAGAAGTAATCCCTGTTATGATCTTTTTTTTTGTTCGATTTCAAACCAGTACATAACTAAGAAAAGTGGGATCCACCAATTAAAGTAGCAGCTTCTCTATATAACTTTAACATAACTCTACGTAACTAGCAAATAACTAGGTATCGTTAGCTCGTCTATACCAAATAAGGAGGCGATTCCCTCGGAAACAGGGCCGAAGAGAGAGTTAGAGATAACTCCCAATATCTTTGCCTCTATTATCCACATTCATGTGTTCGGTTGATTTTGCATCCTAGCACCCTCTTTCTAGAAGTGAAAGGCTTCTTTCTGATCTCTACTCTTTCTAGTGGAGATGTTAAAGACAGATGATTCAAATCAGCTTGCCTCTATCTCCACCCACGAATCAAGTTAACCCAATAATTATCCGTAGTTGGCAACCCAGATGGCAGAACTAGTGATTTTTAGATAATTGAATTCATTTCGGCCTTTGCTTCAAATAAGTTACAACCATTATTGAGAACATGATGGTTCATTTTCTACGTACATCCCTTAATAATATATAAATAATAGATAGATGGGATTTATTTAGGTCCTCATTTGGAGGAAGCAAATGGATCGGAGCGCATAAACTCGTTTCAATCATGAAGTGATGGTGCAAACGCAGCATGTATGTATATATCTTTCCACCAACTCAAACAAGGACGTGAAGAACGACAGTGAAGAGAGCTTTGGATTAGGATGCATGGGATGTGTTGACATTATATTGCAGATGAGACAACCGATGGATGGACGACGTTACAGCTGCAATGCATGGTTGGCTTGGTTGACAGCACAGCACAGATTTTGGAATTAAAGGAGATTTACGTAATTTGTTTGTACAGAAGAAGAGAGTAGTAATTGATTGGGGGTGGAAGACGACACAGGTAGCAGCTGCATGGAGTAATTAATATTCTAGCTATATATGGATCGAGACGGGGGACGAATTCGATTATTGAGACTGGGAGCAGACGATATGATATGATATGATCAGTAGTCGGCGGTGGGCAGCTGGTCGTGCGGGCGCTGGCCGATGAAGATGATGTCGTAGATGAGCGCGGCGATGGCGGCGCCGACGAAGGGGCCGAGCCAGTAGACCCAGTGGTTGTCCCAGACTCCGGTGACGACGGCGGGGCCGAAGGAGACGGCGGGGTTCATGGAGGCGCCGTCGAAGGCGCCGCCGGCGAGGATGTTGGCGCCGACGATGAAGCCGATGGCGATGGGGGCGATGACACCGAGGTCGCCCTTCTTGGGATCCACCGCGGTGGCGTACACGGTGTAGACGAGGCCGAAGGTCATGACGATCTCGAACACCACCGCGTTCCAGGCGCCCACGCCCGCCGACAGCGAGAAGGCACCCACGGCGGCGCCGCCCGTCGCGATCTTGAGCAGCAGGCACGCCACCACCGACCCCAGCAGCTGCGCCACCCAGTACACCACCGCCTTCACCAGGCTGATGTTCCCCCCCACGAACGCGCCGAATGTCACCGCCGGGTTCACGTGCCCGCCGGAGATGTTGGCTCCCACCGCCACCGCCACGAACAGGGCCAGCGCGTGCGCCAGGGAGGCGGCGATCAGCCCCGACGGCGTCGTGCCGCCGCCGTCCGTCAGCTTGCCTACGTACCATTATCGATCCATCATCATATTAATTACTCATAATTAAACGGATGAATTACTTGGATTCAATGCTTGCTTACTGAAGGCCATGCCGGATCCCGATCCGGCGAAGACGAAGATGAGCATAGAGATGAACTCGGCGACGGCGGCCTTGGCCGTGTCCGGGTGGGACAGCTCGCCGGGGGCGCCCACCGCGATCCGGCTCACCGGCATTTTCTTCTTCTTCTTCTGCTAGTACGTTCGTCTAGTTACGCTAAGCGCGGCTATTATATTGCTCCCCTCCACACTCTCTCCCATCTTTGTACTACTATATATAGGGAAGGAGGGAGAGTGAGTGATTCATATATGACCTCTTCAAACCAAACCAAACCAAGCCAAAGCCATGCATAAGGCATCCATATTTCATTTTATTAATTAGTTTCTTCACCGCCCTTTGCGCGCCTATTTTTGTCATCAATAACAAAAGTTGCAGACAGTTCCATGGATAAGGACGTGTTCTATGATTTTTTTTATTTGTATTTCAGAGATTTTCTGAGACTAGATGCCTATCCAGAAGGAATAAAAAAACGTCCAAACAAAACTTCTTCCAGAACCTGGCTGAGAGTATCGTTATATATAACATTGCATTTTTTTTCTCATCCGTTGGGTCGTCTTGAGATTTGTGCCATGTGAGAAAAAAAAACCACTAAGCAGGTACCTCTTTTTTTTTTGAAAACTCAATATAATATTATAGATTAAAGACAGAGTTCACATGAAGTAAATCCATGATACATCGTCCGAAAATAAAAGATCTCAAAAGCAATTTTCCTTATGAAAAGGAAGGGAAACTTGACTACGAAAAACAAGCAGGTACCTGAAGCTAGGATTTAAACCCTCATCGTCGTGAGCGGATGCATTCGCTCTTAGCCACCAGGCCACACTCGAGTTAATTCAATAACATACGAACTACATATAAATTGCTCTATATGTTGTAATTGGAATATAGTTATTTTTACTATATTTACATTTAAAAGTTTTCTGTAAAATATATCAAATAATGTATAACCACTCCCTTATAATATACTGTACTAAGCAAAAGATGCTCAGAAATTTTAGAAAAGAAATGCATTCATACGGAGCTAGAGAAATTGTTTGGACTAATATAGGAGAGTACCAACCTGTAAAATAAATAATAACTGAAGTATTTTTTTTTCTTTTAGAAAGGAATCGTCCATTATAGAAAACGATGAGTGAGAGGAGGGGAGGGAGTAGAAACAAAGGAAGAAGGCGATGTGTGCCGCCCAGCCGTTGTCCTTGCTGATAGGCCGGGCCTCCTGGCCAGTAGGGACGCGCCACGAGGACAAACGGTTGGCCAGGGTCGCTTCTGAGGCGCCGACCGTGACGTGGCTGCATGCTCTCTCTGGATTCAATAATTTATCTGACCGTCTGGCTATAATAATGAAATGGAGGCTCGTGTTGTGGTTGTGAGAGCTCATCCATGGAATTTGCAGGGTCATGTAGTACTCCCTCTATCTATTTTTATAGTTATATTTTATATTAGCACACAAATAAAAGATAAGTAATTCTACTTGTCATTTATTTAAACATACTACGGGTTATTTCTCGTAAATAAGTGATTCATTAATATTTACATTTCTCGATGTCCATGTAGCCAATCTTGTATGGAAGAATGAAGTCACGCATTAAATCCGAGAAAGTAATTAAGATGATAAATTGTTGGATTAAAATATGCCTATCAAAAATAAATTTTCCAGATTTAAAAATATACCTATCAAAAATAAATGGAGGGAGTACATCTTTTGTTTCAAAATAAGTTCATTTTCAGTTTCTTATGTTTGTCCCAAAATACTATCCCTTCATCCTAAAATAAGCTAATACTCTCTTCGTACCGAAATACTTCCTCATCACATAATACAAGAATCAGGATCGGATGAAACATTTTCTAGTACCACAAATCTAAAGAGGCTAGAAAATATCTCATTCGATTCTAGGTTCTTATTATCGAAGAGATGTATAAATTTATTTTTAACCCATCCCGTTTGTCCTAAAATAAGTTCATTTAGTTTTTGAGTAATCATTGCATCAAGTTAGTGAAATTAGAAAATCAATGTATTGAGAGTAGGTAAAGTAGAAAATCATTGTATTGTGAGTTGATAAAGTGAGGATATTCTAGTCTTCTTAGTTTTGTATTGATTTATATGGGATTTGGGACAGAGGAAGTATCAAATGTGACATATCCAAAAATGGGAAGCAAAATACTCCCTCCGCCCTATAATATATAAGGGATTTTGAGCGGATTCAGAGTAATATGATGCATCACATCCATCCAACATCCATCCAAAATCCCTTATATTTTGGGACGGAAAGAAGACTCACCAAACCAATCAATCAAGCATCAATCAATGGTATACTACTCCACTCCACTCCATAGAGTAGGACATGACCATCATCGTCATTCAGAATCTTGTGATGATCAGATGAGGTTGGAATACACTACTACCAGGCAGCCAGTATATGTTGCACAGCAGTTTGGAATCTTTTTAGTAGAATCTGTCAGCTAGCAAATGTGCATTAATAGACGCATTTCTCTACACAGATAAAAATACCAGCAATAAATCGGAAAAATGTCAAAGAGAAACAAGCGTATTCCAGGACGTTTACACTTTGTGTCTGCTAGTACAGACACTTGCGGTGCGTATTCCAGGACCAGATCGATCCACACTTGGAGTTGTAAAATAAAAAATCCAGCAGAGCTAGCGGATGCTTCTGGAATCGACTCCACTCGACTGCTCCAGAAAGATCCTATTACCCGTCTCTCTCTCGCACATTCTCAGCGTTTAAAACATGGCATAAACTTCGAAAAAGTGGTTGACGCACAGGTTTCCCAAAGGCCAGGTTACCGCCGGGCGCCCCGGCGGTAAGCACGGTTACTGCGCAGTAACCATAAAAAACTGTACGAAACCGTACAAAATTTATCAAAAATTTAAATTATTTTTTAAATTTATTTAAATTTAAGGAGGTTACCGTGGTTTTTCTATTACCGTACCCCCGTGGTTAAGGCCGTAACCGCGGTAACCACGCGGTTACCGATGGTAATGTAAACCCTGTTGACGCATCACCAAAGAATAATTAACCAAAAAAAATCTCCTCTAATATACAAGAATATATTTCACATCAAGTTCCTAAATAATATCCCCTCATTTTGGCCCGGAGAAAAGTCCCCGTAGTTTAACAGTAACGAGTATGGATCCCGATGGAAATTACTAACTCTAAAAGGTACTAACGGATTAGATTACACGAAGAACATACATAGAGTGAAAGAAACGAAATGGCATTGACAACAAACAGGAACCAATTAAAATTGACATGAAATACCCTGGGTAGCAAATAAAATCATGACTTTAGTGAAAATGTTATACAAACCTAATCCCTCATATCTCCCCAACAGTGATGGTACTGCCTGTGTCGGTATATATAAGCACATAAATAAATCATCAAAACTTCCAATAAAGAAAGAAAATAAACGTACAGGAATTTACATACAAGACAATATATCACCAGGAAAGGGTGCTTTCTCCGTATACGAAAATTTCGTTTTCCAGGTCCCTGATCCATTGGCATACTCTATTGCATACCTTGATTGCTTGACTCTGCAAAATAAGTATGCTCAAAATTATTGAGTTGCTATACAACCAAGAATATGGTACCTTAATCCATTCCCCTGGTGCCTAGACTACCACAGCATTTACCACAACAAACAAAACACAAGTGAGCATACATAAACTGATTGTGACAGGTACAAACCTTGTCAGCCAGTGGATTAAAAGCGGCGTACAACTCAAAATCCTGGGTTATCCAGCAGAACAGAACTGCAACAAAAAAAAATTATAACTTTAACAAACTGTCTTCCTATAAAGCACACGGAGAATATCATTACTCAGTAATTCTAGTAAACCCAAGAACACCATGATGACATATGCATGGGCTTGCAAACGTTCATAACCAAATCTTACAGAAGAGAAAAGCAATTACATCCCTTATCATTGTATACTCCCCAGATTTAAAATTATTTCAAGAAGGATTTCACACCTATGTTTTGTTTAGTAATGCTAACAGAAGCTGACATTCCAGTTATACAAGGGCTATAGGTCATGTTCGTGAGACTTTACAGAACCTTTATGGGTCACAGATTCAAAGCAACTGGAATCAAAACTTAATAAATATAATTTTGTATTGCAATTCTACATGGAAGACTGACAAATGGGCCCTCTACGTCACAAAATGCAACGTGCAAAGCAAAAATCAAGCTAAAATCTTATAACTTCTAGGTCAGTTTGTTTGCAGGACACATGCATCAACACAAATGGCTCATGCTGGAAAACCCAACAAAATTACCATAGAACTAAAATGGATCCAATGACAACTTATCACCGTATAATAACATCTATCTTTATCATTCTTCGTAGATTGTCTACTTCTCTTTTTCATGAAAACAATTTGATGAGCAGAAACCTGAATCCCCACAGGTATCTTATCAGTGGCTATTATAACTCGTATGCATTATAAAAATAATTGAGCATCAGAATTGACTAATAATGGATTGCACATTTCATCTTTTATGTGGTATAAAACTATACAGATTCTACTCACAAATGTGCAACAAACACCACCGTCTGGTTAACAAACTTAACTGAAATGCTGTATCTGTCAATGATATCTCTTCAAACAAGGGTAATTAAATTGCTGGGTAACTCACCATAATCTTCATCTCTTCTGAATTGGGTTTTATGTGGACCAGTTGCTTTATCATGCATGGAAGCATACAATTTTTGATAAGCTTTGTACAATCTGCGCATATCAGTTGAATATTAATTTTATAGAAAATATCATACGTATGAAAAACAAACAGTGAATTGTATTTAATAAATAAATCAAAATACAATACCTTTTCTGTTGCTTTGGATTGCTTATGATTAAGGGGAACTCAGATGATACATATTGATCAAGGTAAATGCTTTTATATATAAAATGCCAAAGTCCAGCTGGTCCACCAATTGCCATTTCAGAAGATAATAACTGAAAGTGCAGATCTTGAGAGAACTGTGGAGGTGGTGATACAGATTGAGAAGATGGATCAGCAGGGAGATCTTCAATGCGCAGTGCGCTCTCACGCAGAGACCTTTGGACTTCCACAAGGACATTTGCCTTCAAGAGAACATTCTGAATGCGGGACCTACACAATGTTCATAAAAGGGAAAGGAAATTAATTCCATATACACTTAAGACAGGACATGCTCAGGCATCATGATATTTTTAAGAGACGTGGTCACTTGATTGTATAGCTCACCTGGAATCTTTCAGATCATAAAAGGCGTCTGATCTTGCAGTAAGAAGTGTCAAGTATGTATTTTCCTGCCATGAATTAAATAAGATTACTTAAGAAGCTACAATATAGTTTCCCCCTCAAATATGATACAAATTATATAATGAATGATTAGAAGCATGGCCCTGCACTCGCCAATTCTATTCATTCATATGTTTTGTCCAAAAGTTGAATTCCCCTATAGGAAAAAGAAAAGGAGTCCCAGCATGCTAGGTGCTTAGTATTTTTTACAGGACCTGGATTCTTACTCCGATTTTGCCCCTCAACACTGTTTTCTTTTATATTTGTCTTCTCTACATTCCTCTCTACCAACACTGTCATTATGCATCACCCTCATTTCCATTGATCCTCAGTTTTCAACATGCATATTTCAAGCTCAAGGTTTTTCGAAGTGTTACTGCGATTGTTGACTATGTAGACCATGCTTCGTAAAATATAAATTGTTGTCTGTAGAGAGGAAAATGGACAATAGACAAAGAGGCCAACTAAGCTAAAGTTCAGCAAGGGAGATAAAAGGCATTATAGTATGATCTGCTGAGGGCAAGACTTTGCTTTTCTTTTAGTTCAAAGCTTAATTAACCTAACCAACAGTAAAGATTCAATAGTGAGGAAATTTAGTCTAATATGAGGACAGATCAAACTGAGATATCACACCTCAATACATTAGCACTATTTATTGTACTTATAAGTTATTTCGACACAGATTAAAAAGCATACATATTCAGATGATATATTTGACTCACATCAAAAAAATGAACATAAGCATATAAGAAAGCCATAGAATTGTATCTTGGAAGGCATATGGGTGAAAAAGACTCCGAAGTCCTGCATTAAAGAAAATGTAGTAAGAACGTCTCAAAGTAAAGATTACCATTTCAGAGTGTGTGTCGTGATGATTACCTAAAAGATTCAGAGGACAATATGAAATTTGAAAGTAGAAAAATATCATCAGGATGCAAAGTTGCCTTTTGTGCTCCCACTAGACTAATAACCTGAAAAATAACAAAGAATGAAATCCCAGAAACACGAACAAGTAGGATTGAAGAGAAAGATCGAGGACAGGCCCTATCTTAGCCTGCCTCAGGATGGGATGCTAGCAGCACATAACAAACCTAGATAGACAGAACAAAGAGCGAGACATACAGATCCTTTTGTAAAATTATAGGGCAAAGAACTACAGATAATTGTTGGCTGAAGCGTGGGACGGCGACAAAACGAATGACGCCTCATAAAGACCTTAACAGAATTGTAAATTCAGCATAGTTAAGGACATAAGGTGAAGACATGTCAGGTTTGGTTAACCAATAAAAATGACGAGAGATACCATTGTATATAGTATATACGCATCTCTAATAGATGAATGTGGACATGTGGTACCTAAATTGTGCTCAGAAATTCAGCACACTAAACTTAAATACTTCATTTATGCCCAAAAAGTCACATAATTTAATATCCCAGTAAAAGTTTTCCCTGGCGTGAAAATGGACAAACCTTGTGCTCACACATCAACAGTGCAAACAAAACTCCTGAATCAGCAATGTCTTGTAAAACTGCACTAGCCGCCTGCCTTGTGGATTGGGCGAGGGGAAGGCATGTGTACGCATGAAGAAATGTAGCAGGATTCCTGCAGAATGGTTTGGTGAGATTTAGTTGGGCAACTAGAGTGTAAAATATTTCAGGCAAAGGAAAAAACAAAACTGACCAGCTGAATGCATGTATAAGTGATAGGAAAACTGCATCTGTGCCACCTAGCAATGGTGCCATATCAAATTTAGGGTTCTTCTCAAAGCATCTGTTGACAGACTTGGTCAAAATCAGCAGCATCTACAAATTAAATTTTCAGATAGAGAAATCTGGATGAGAACTTTAGAAAGTAAGTTTGTGTAATCACAACCAAAAGCCCACAGAAATTAATTGTGTTAGGATGAATGCAGCAGGGGAAGCACCTGACCATACATGAGCTCTAGTTGTCCCCTCAATCCTTCATATGACTCTTCAGTGCAACTTATACAAACTAAGTATATTGGACCCTTGACAAGGAAAACTATCTGAAAGATGGAGAATAGGTAGGAGTTAGAAAGATTTGGAAATAAGAAGTCCATGTTAATTATGCTTGGATTTATCTTCGAATGCGGCATAAAAGTATACAAGTTTTGGACAGGAAGCCCACATCACCTGATGTTTGGCAGCCCTTACAAATTTGATATGGTCACCACTGGAATGAATGAAAACAATAGGTCATTGCCGAAAAGAAAGCACCAATTGAAGAAGACAGACAGACAAACAGATAAGGTTAGGCCACAAGAGAAGAGAAAAGAATAGAAGAAATGTGATCATTGGGTATCATTACACACCTGTTCTCAACGAAAGAAATGATTGCTTGCAACGTGGCGGAAAACCCAGCAAGCTTATGCTCATCTCCATACCTAAGAATTGGTTTGTTTTTTGCACAAGTGGTGGAAAAATTGAAGGGGAAAGAGAATGCATTAAGTGAGGGTGGCAAAGGGTCGTTTGTTTTGTGCATAAGTGGTTGTTCTTCTTTTTATAAAAGAAAAGAAAATACCTAGAATAAATTGGCTTGCCAGAATTGCTCAAGATGAAGAAGTGCTTTTTCCGTTTGCGCCATGAAGCAGAAGTATCGTCCTGGAAAAAGAAGGGAATAATGGTACAGTACAGGAGTAGTAGTTAGTCCAGATTAGAGGATGTAGTTAGTGCGGAGTGGTGATCCATGGAGATTGGAGGGAGGAGGCATATGATATGGAAAACCTCGTGGAGATGCTTCTTGTCGCGGGGCCAATCGTCGTCGTCGGGTTGGGGTTGGGGATCGTCGTTGGCGGCGGCGCTGGAGGCGAGGCTGGTGCCCCTCTCGGCGGCGTAGCCGCTGCTGCTGGGGCTGGGTGGAGCCACGTCGGCGTCTTCGAGGTCGTCCTTCCAGGCGGAGGCGGAGGTGCTGATGCTCCCTACCCTGGAGACGGCAGTGAGGTAGCCCTCGTCGTCGTCGTCGTCGTAGTCGTCGTGGATCTCGAAGTCGGGAGGGAGGTGAGAGGTGCGGAGGGAGAGGGAGGCGAGCCTCTTCTCCGGCGGCGGGGAGTCGGGGGGACCAGGGGGGCTAGGGTTATTGGTGGGAGGATCCATATCCATGGGGGGCCTTCCCGACGCGATGCCGATGCCTCTTCTTCTTCTTCCTTGCTCGCTCGCTCCCCTCCCCTGTAGAGAATGTACTCTATTCGATTCGATCGTGTCTTTGCTGGGTTGGGTCGCCTCCGTCGGTCGGATTCGATGGAACGAGACCGGTTGTTGGCTCCCTTTGGCTACACTACACACAGTTTCTCTCCCTTCCCTGGATCTCTTCTCCTCTACATACAGTCCTTCATTCATTCACTTGGGTTCAAATCTACATATACATACATGTTATACCAGCAATTCCTTACTATTAGTAAATCCCTCGTGCCTTCGTTTCAGCACGCACGCGACTGACACCCACCAAAAACCGCATTTCGTCTTTGGCTATCGCATTTTGCTAGCACATGATGTGTTTCTAACTCCCATCTCTCTTTCCCCCTACACTACAGGGATGTACTACACCAGGATAGATATAGATATTAACCACACAAGAGAGGGGCAAAACACACACAACCGGAAATATAACCAACTCTTCCGCCGCCCCATCATTCCATTCAACAACCCAGAGCTTTGCTCCATTACCAAACTGAGTGTATCAACAAATTAATTACCAGTGCGCCTGCTTAAACATGATCAAACAAGAATACCTACCCACTCCCACTTCCAGCACACCTATGCCCAAAATTACTTCTACTACTTCCACCAAAACAAATATAATATCCCTTCCCTAATTACACTTCAATGCAGTACCAAACTACACAACACACCCCCCCCCCCCCACCAAGAATTCCATTTAAGTGTCAAAAATAAAATGCCAAAACTACATCACACTATCACAATGAACAAATCCGATCTAATAACGATCAGTTACAAAAATGAATGAATAGGCAGGCAGCGCAGCACATGGAATGTTGACCAATTCCATGTGCTATATGCTATTCCGGACTCATCAAACTCTCAAGTCAATGTTGGAGTGGATTCAATGGGACAGCGCATCTCAGCTTCACCTCCTTTATGCCGCATGCTATATGCTATTCCGGACTCTTCATCTCAAAGCTTTATTACAGCAAAGCAAATTAAAATATCATGTGTCCAGACTCCAGAGCCTGTGCCAATGCCTATGCCTATCCTGTCAGATCGCAACACAAATACTTGTACCATCTCATACTGTCTCCAAGCTGCCTTCCACGTTTCCAGTCACTAGTTAGTGAAGCAGAGTGAGCAATGTACAAATGCTACCAGGGGTTCTTATATTAGTCTACGTTGACGGAATCCTTTGGTGAAATGAGGTTGCATCAACTTGACATACAACCCATTCTTTTGCACCAGTGAATCATGCGTTCCCTGCTCAACTATCTTTCCACCATTCAGAACAACAATGTTATCCACATGCTTCATCATTGCCGCCCTATGTGCAATGAGAACTGTCGTCTTATTCCCCATAATCAATGTGTCGAGGGCCTCCTGCACCACTCTACTGGACTCGGATTCAATTGCAGAACTGGCTTCGTCAAGCAGCAAAATGGGTGCATTCTTCAGCACTACACGGGCAATGGCGATTCGCTGCTTCTGCCCAGGAGTTAAATCCACTCCCCTCATTCCCACATGTGTGTCATAGCCATGTGGCAAACTGCTAATGAAATGGTGAGCGTTCGCAATCCTAGCCGCCTCTTTCATCTCAGACTCTGTTGCATTGTGCCTTGCATAGATTATGTTCTCCCTTATGGTTGTGGAGAATATAACTGGGTCTTGAGGAACTAAACCCATGTGGCTCCGCAACCATCTCAAGTTGAACAGCTTCAGATCACGGCCATCCAATAAAACTTGCCCGGCGGTTGGATCATAGAATCTCTCTATCAAAGAAATTATCGTGCTCTTCCCTGATCCAGATACACCTACCACAGCAACAGTTTGTCCTCCATTGACTCTAAGGCTGAAATTACTCAAAACCATCGTCTCAGGGCGTGTAGGATAGCAAAAATCAACATTCCTGAATTCAATGCTACCATAGACATTGGGGGGTTTTAGCCCACTTGCATCATCTGGATCAATCTTGGGTGCACGATCAATAATTTCAAATACCGACGTCAGAGATTTTCGACGCTTGAGAATATATGGCGCAAGGCCAAATGGCTCCACCAGTGCAAAAGTCGCAAAAGAGAAGACAATGTACTCTTTAAGTGCTGTTACCAGACTAAGGTGCCCATTCTTAACAGCTACGGCTGTATACCACAGCAGAAGTGCATTGCAGGCGAAAAGAAGGAACTGAGATAAGCCAAAGGCAAAACCAATACCCATTCCATGAACCAAGCTTTTCCAAAGAATATTCCCAAGCTGCAGTCTGTAAAGTTCCATTATTTTGTTACCAGCACAAAATGCCACAACAGTATAGATATTCCTGACTGCATCCTCAAGAACCAAAGAAGCCTTCCTGTGCATCTCCTGAATTCCTCTTGAAAAGCCAGAAAGCCACATTTTCTGAGGGAAGGAAAAAAAAACAAATCCAGGCATGAGCTCCACATGATTTTCATTTTTCAACAAGCTCACTGTAAAACTTTTCATGTCAAGATCTGTGCATTCTCATTGGACAACTATATGAAGAAAAACAATTGTGGATTCAAATGTATACTTGACTCACATGCAAAACAAAAGAAGCAAAGCCACTATAAGCTATTCAAAACAGTGATAACAACTTTCTCAAGTACCTTTACATAGACTAAAAGTGAGACTCTTTATATCTTTGATCATAATGATGGTATGCTGGTTTATTAGCAGAATAATTATTTTCCATAAATGAATATATGGATACAGGCAACCTTTTTTTTTCTCGAAAACGCAGGAGAGCTGCATTTCATTTCATTAAGGGGAAGAAAAAACAATACAAAAACACAACACAAAGAAAAAACCAAAGTAGGAGTGCCCAAGCCCTCCTACCAAGACCCACACACACTAGACAACCCGGGGAGCTTAGTTGCCTAGATTAGCCGTCCCACTAAGGAGCTTTTGAAGGCGAGAAGCTCCAGCGACACCCCAAAGATGGCCCTCATTTTCTATCACTTACAAGACCGTCACTACTCTAGGATACAGGCAACCTGTAATTGGAATCTTAAAGCTTGTCTATTATTATCTCAAATAAGTCAGAAAATACCAAGTTCAAAATTGTAAACACAATGCATGTTCACTCTGCAAATTTGCATATGATTGAGAGCTTATCAGGTAGTATTGCATTACTTATTTTTGTTTTAATCTGAATTATCATATTATAGCTAATTCTAGATTAATAGTTTATCAACACCAAGAGGACAATAGTTATGCCACAGCTTTACCAAATCAAGCCTATGACTCTAGCAAGTCTGGACATGGTTGAGATGGGAATGATGTTGCCTCACTTGAAACAATGCCAATGCCAGGTAGCATTGAACAACATCAAAGAAAGTTAACAGTTGGACAGAGTTCAAAACTTCAACTGTTACCAAGACATAGCTAAAAGAACGTTGTAAATCTTAGTAGCATGTAATAAGCGTTCAGTATAAGATGCATCTATATAGGAAAATGTAAGATTAGTATAGACTTACGGCATTACCAGCTTGAAGAAATGTTGAAAATAGATGAGAACTAACCTGCGCAACTGCAGAAATTACAAGGATGGGCAAAGTTGCCAGGGCAACCAGAGCAACACGCCATTCTAGCAACATGCCAAGAAGAAGTGCCACAAAAATGGCTGCTGTATCCTGAATGAATATAGAAAGCCTGTTGCTGAAAGCAGCACGAACAAAAGTAGCATCATTTGCGAGTCGCATTGATAATATGTCTGCACTGTTTTCTTCTTCATCAAACCACCCTACTTCATTGCGCAAAATTGCTGGAATACAGTAAACAGAAAATGTAAGTTCCCTAAGAAATGTGAATTCTGATTGCAGTGGATATGTTAGATGTCTACTGCCGAATCATCTGTGCTATAGAAGCGTAGTGTCATGGACACACAATCACAAAATAGACATTATTTTAAATATGGATGTGATAAACAATCAAGAGTATGTTATAATGGTGGTATTGAACCAAATAGCGCAATGGAACTTTCCATGGCACATTTCAGAAGAGGCATACCTGAAAACATCATCCTTCTAACACGTTCAGTCATCTTCTCTCCCATTATACCAAAATAGAAGTGCTGTAAGAAGTTAGCTAGCACGGTTATTATACCCATGCCAACAATGAATGAGCAGTACTTATTGACTTCATCATGCACATCACGTACACCAATTCTATAGTATGCCACCACTATTAAAGATATTGTATAAGCAAGAAGAGGATTAAATGAACCAAAGCAAGCAGCACCAGCACTCCCTAATAGAGCATAAAAATACTCAGCAAGACTAAGTTCTACAAGCCTCCAAAACGATGGAGCTTTTGTTTTCTGCTTCTTTGACTCCTCAGCATGAAAATTGTCAAACATATCAAGAGGACGACTGAAAGTTTTTGAGTGCGAGCGCTCATTCTTTGGATCAGAAGTCAATAGTGGTGATATTGGTGATTCTGGATCTGAAGTATTTGAAGATTGTCGGTGTAGTGGGACATCAATTTTGGGAAGATCGGGCAATTTCATTTCAAAACTGTCCTGCCTTTTGATGGATGGAGCTCTCTCAGAAGCAACTGTAGGTAACCTAGTTTCTGCCATTTGTTCGGAAGGAGGGCTTTGAATATTTGGTGATTCGTGTGAGTTATGATTTGCATCTGAATTACGGAATGCAAGAAAACCGTGTGTTTTCTGAAGTGACGGCGACTTTGACATATTAGGAGATGATGACTCTTGGAAGCTGTGACTTGCTGAAGAATCCCTTTCAATTTGGAAGGAGCTAGGCTCTTTGTAGTTTCTTATCGGAGTCCTGAAACATTTTAGGTGGGAATGAGTCCTTCAAATCAACCATCAAAATTTAGGACACTTATAAGCTATGAAGAATAAACGTTATTTGATTGATGGGCAAATAAATAGCTAAGAGATTAAAAGTAGGGATATATACTGAACAATAAGAAAGAGCATAATATGATATGAGGCTATCTAAAGAAAATAAATTGTGAATCCTGAATGCACGAAAGGAAACTATTAAAACTGTGAAGTCAGAACAATTCACTCAAGCTGGAATACGATAGAGGCAGATAGTACTGGTTGTCCAGATTTCTTTTCTAATACATGTATCTTGGGACCTCAAAATTCAAATAAAAATAAAACATTTGCTAGCACCAAAGGAAATCAGGAAAATTCTCCAGCATTAA